ATTATTATTATTATTATTATTATTATTGTAGTAAATAGGTAAAATTAGGCAATTGAGTGCATTTAACTGGTAATTGTAAAATAATTGAAGAGATTTTCTTAAACTTGTAACTTTGGAATTTTAAAGTGATTTAGGCAAGCACTTTAGGTGAGTTCATAAAATTACAATAAATAAAGTAAGATCTATTTGTTACCAGTTACATGATTCTTTTGTATTTTCTGTGTAAACCTCTGGTGCAGACTTGTTCTCAGTAAGAAGTGCAAATTAAATTATATGATCTGTAAATAGAGGTTTGTAAATGAGGTCACATAGATCGATTCAGGGGACAAAAGGTTTAACAAACTAAAGGAAAATACAATATAATTATAATAATAATATATATAATACTAAATATAAATAATATAATAATAAATATATATAATAATATAATATAATTTGGTAAGCTTCAACAGTAGGGGGTGCTGTGGCATTTATCTGCTGCTGCTCGACTGCTTCATGAAATGACAACTAGTTAAAAACTTTGTAAGTTATGTCTCAGTCAGCTTTTTCAGTCTATCATCTTTACGGGTTTTACTCACAAAGCTTGTTTTTTGAAAAATCAGAAAAGCAAGCCTAAGTTTTGAATGGGATCTGAAAAAAGTATTGATGACAAACTCCAAAAATGTAAATTGTTCATTTGAGAACACTGTTACAAATGAAAACATCAATTAAAAACACATCTGTATAATTTGCTGCCAGAATTAACTTTATTTTATTTTTTTTAAGGGTCAACTTTTTTTTTCTAAAGCCAGCTGAACAACATCTGAAGTCAACATACCCACCACAAGTTCTGGTTTTGGCTCCTCTGAAAGTACATAACTCCCCTTTTTTCCTCTCCCCATCTATTGATAAAGATGGAATGCGCTGTCCACGCCCTGGAGGGGGCTGGCTGGGGGGATGTGTGCGGCTCACTGATGGGAAAAGGCGCAGCAGTATGTAGGGACACGCTCGTGTTTAACCGCAAACGGCCCCCCCGATGCTGGTTCTCACAAGCCCGCTTCATTACTCATCACCTCGGCTCTAAAGAGTTCATTGCACTCAGCTTTCTGAGCACCTCTGCGAGCCCCCACCCGTCGCCCTCCATCCTCAGAGTAACCCTTGTTGTCACAGGGATAGCTGTGGGGAGATGAGTCAGGGCACAAAATTGGAACCCCCGGTCGTGACCCGGTCCGGGCAGAGACTCGTCGGGTTCAACCGAGCTACTGTTTATCAGTCACATTTAGCATCTAATAAATAGTGTTGATCTGACATTTAAGAGACAATCATTGCTTCCCGCCCCATCTTCCTCGCCACTGCTGTGGACTGCAGGGAGGGTGGAAAGAGTGAGATCAGAGACGAACCGTTTCTCAGGCCTGGTGGATGTTTAAACCCATGGAGTGTTTATGTCTGTCTGGCAGCTGGGCTGGGCCAATGTTTGCAAGCCAGGGTTTAGTGAAGAGGTCCCACTGGTTTGGCTCTGGACCGTCTCCCAGTAAACGTGTTGTGGCGGACGTGATGATGCCACTCGGGTGGGGGGATGGTGCTTGGGAACCGATGATCATAGCTGCGTTCGTGTAGTGGATGCAGCGTGAACAACAAGATTAGGTGACAGAAACTGGAAGATCTCCGGCTTTGTAGTCATGACAATGTTATTTATTTAACCTTAGACCTTTCTATGACTCATTCATGGTTCAAATCACCTGCTGACATGCCAGTAATCTACTATCAAATCCCTAAAAAACAAAAAAAAAACAAATTTTGTTTCGTCATGCTGTGAAAGGGTGGGACCGAAACCGGTTTCTGTRAGTAAAACTAGTAAGTTTTTGTAAAAGCTAATTGTATTTAAATCACAATGCGGCAGYATTTTCTTGACCAATATTCAAAAARTGAACCTGTATGAAGGTTTAGAACACATGCAGTTTATGGTTTCAGCAGAATATTGTGACGACACGAACTGAGGATGAACTAACTATGACKGTTCAACCAACCATGAGTGTGTCTGCACAATAAAACAATGTCGATGCCTGTTTGAGGGAGAAGCATAGAACGTAAGAGGGGTTGGTGTCCTGAGGGCATGAGTGACTTTGCGGGGAAAAGTTTTTATTTAATCTACTAGGGTATCCTACAGCCTAGTTCCAATGGATTTGAAGATATTGTGTAAAAAAAATATGTTCCACGTTCAACCAATTTACAGTTACAAATTGTTACTGTGCTTAAGTAGAAATTTTGGTTATCTGTACTTTACTTGAGTAATTATTTTTCAGCATACTTTTTTACTTTTACTCATTACATTTTTACACAATTGTACTTTCTACTCACTACATTTTAAAAAAGGTAAGAAATAGAAAGTCGTTACTCCTATTTTATTCTGATTTATTACTTAAAAAAATACCATCCTGATAAATTGTCTCCTGGATAGAGAGAATTCAATTGTGGTTGGATGAGAAGTATAAATACATACCATTCTGACACCCTATTAGCTTGTACACAACCCATCACAGCTGCACGCCGTTAGAAAAAAAATTGTTTTTGGAGAAGTCACCTCCCACTAAATGTCATTTTGGAAAATCTATCTGCTCACTTTTACTCAGTACTTTTACTTTTAATACTTAAGTAGATATTGTGTCAGAAATTTACTTTTGATACTTAAGTACAAAAAATATCAGATACTTTAAGACTTTTACTCAATTAATACTTTTAGAGGAGACTTTAACTTTTACCAAAGTATTTTTATGATAAGATACTTGTACTTTTATTCAAGTATCACTTTGAGGTACTTTATACAACACTGCCAATTTATCCTCATAAACAGGAAACATAAGCGAGGCTATATTTGCTGTCTTATGTATATGCTTACTTTTTTGTTGACAAATTTGTTGGTTAGCCTGTTACTGCTACTGGGTTTTAAAATTAGGTCAAAAGAGTTGAATGCTTTGGTGTGGTGACCTAAAAACCGGCAAGTTCCCTGTCGTCAATTTAATTCTTGTTGTGTAAAGTTCAAAACGAGCACATTTTATATTTATAATCTGCGGTCTTGTACAGTCCAACGTGTAACACATTCTGGTCACTGTGAACAAATATTAGGTCGGGATAAAAAAAAGTTTACATGGTTGTTTTTGGTTTACGATGGCACACTGTGGTGTACATCTAAAGAGTTTTGTGTCAAAGGAGAGATCATGCTAATAAAATTTTTTTTTACTTGATCACACAAAGTATTCAGCAAATAATCTGCTTTAAACATCGAAGGTAAGAGCAGTGAGGACGTGATTCATGACAAAGTTGTACAACTGACTCACATTTTCACATTCATAGGTAATCACTGTTGTATAAAGTACCTCAAAGTGATACTTGAGTGAAAGTACAAGTATCTTTTCATTAAAATATTTTGGTAAAAGTTAAAGTCTCCTCTAAAATTATTACTTGAGTACAAGTCTTAAAGTATCTGATATTTTTGTACTTAAGTATCAAAAGTAAACTTCTGACACAAAATCTACTTAAGTATTTAAAGTAAAAGTACAGAGTAAAAGTGAGCAGTTAGATTTTCCAAAATGACATTTATTGGGAGGTGACTGATAACCAAAATTCTATTTAAGTACAGTAACAAAGTAT